CCTTACCCCCGCTCTGCCCAGTGTTTTTATAGTCCTGCCCCTTCCAGTCAGCTAACTAGCTGGCCAGGTTCGGCATTTAACCCTTTCCTCACCAGCACTCTGTGCCCAGAAAGTTCAGGCCTTAAAGGGGCGTACCTGCTTTCTGGTGACAGGGCTAGGGTTCCCTGTTACACATCCCTTTTATGTATTTGTTGACAGCCATCAAGTTTGCCTTCAGAACTTCTTCAGTCTATATTAAAAATTGGCCTGCTTCCTTAACCTTTCTATTATTGGTCACATTTACAAATAGCCTGTCACTGTTATGGCTTTGCCTCAAACTCCTAACTCTTCTCTAGGCTGAGAAACTAAATAAATGGTACAACATTTTAATCTTTTGCATTAAAAACAAAGCTGAGTAATAAAGTTCTTGCAATATGGACAGCCAGTGGTTTCCATTCTTCAGTAAACAGATTTATAACTCCTGTTGTATACAGTGAACCACAACACACTTCAAGAGATTTATGGCTCAGGAACACTGTAATTTTTGTTGCTTCTTGAGGCCACAGGACAGGTAAACAGTATTTTGTTCTCCCTAAAATTCATTAGTTTTAGTGAATTCTGATCTGTCTAGGGAGTGAGAAGAAAATGGTGTTATTGCTGCTCTTCTGTTTAAGCTTAATTTCAAACTGCATAGTTGCTCTGGTCCTATGGCATGTTATGTTGATTTACATTATGCTTTCCCCAGAGAGTTTGATGCCAGTGATTTGATTAAAAAAAAAAGTTATGGTTTAATTGCTGGGCTTTAAACAAGAAGGGAAAGAATGCCACAAAATTATTAACGTTATGCGTTAAATTCTTTGTATCAGTAAACTGCACCAATTAATGTGTTCAGCTGTATGTTCTTGTCCTGTGACTTCTCATTAATGCAACATTGCCACTGTTTGTGTGCTTCTCTAGCTGTAACTTATTTGGCGTTCTCTGTTCATCGCTAGGTCCTTTCAGTTCGAATTGATGATTTAGAGCAGCTCCCAGAAACTACCACTATTGATGCCTCCTCTATTGGAATTGTTCAGGTAAACTAACCACAGCAGAATCCTGAATCTTCTATAGCTCTGCAGCCTCATCTTTCACCAGTTTTTTCCCATTGATATTTAGGACTTACCATTGCTGCTTAAAAATTCCAAAATATGAATATTCTTATCAGCACAGTGGTTTGGATTCAGGATCCTGTACACACTTTGGTTGTTTGGCATTTGCATTTGCTCACAGGCATAATTATAACAAGGTGGAAAAAAACTTTTTTCCTGAAAGTGGAGTAATAGGCTTGGAAGTCCAATCTTAAATGTTGTACATTATTCTAAGGGTAGTGTCTGGCATCTCTGACTAAGATTGGTTTGTGCTTTGTGTAGAGAGACTTGGGAGAAAAAAGATCAGGAAGGAAATCCAGGTGAAAATGGAGCAGAAGTAGGAACAGTTCACCAAGTGTTATTATTTATCAGTTATTCATTTCACTACATTTTGGTTGTCTGCATGGAGGATTAGAAACAAAGGACCTGCCCTAAAAGCCTTACATTGGTGATAAGTGAACAGGGAGCCTGTGGAGATAAATATTATAGAATCCAAAAAATGGAGTGGCAAAGGAGAGAGCAAAAGAGGATACTCGGGGACAGAGTG